GTATATCTGTCCCTAACTCATCCTTGGGCACCGAAGCTTGAGCCTCGAAGCCTTCAACCCTCAATGTTCGGGCTTCCGGAGTAGCCGAAGTCCTGCTTGCAGCTCGTGTGATCGTAGCATTGACATGGAAAGTGCAGCGCGACAACAGCTACAGCTCAACCATACGACGACTGCGGCTTTTGCTGCTGCTGCTGCTGCTGCTGCTACAGCTTCTGCTAGTAGTGCTGCCAGTTGCTGCTTCTTTGCATTGCTATTGTCACGACAGCTATGAAAGCAGAATCGTCACAACAGGAGCAGTCGTCACAATCGCACAACTAATGGCAACTAGGATAGAAAAGCCCGCAAGTCCGACTGACAAACCGACGAAAAACCGTCACACTTCAAACCTCCGGATGCAACAGTGGTTTGGCCAATGAAATCTTTGCACTTTTTTCTAGACCTCGGATTCTCAAGCAACTTGGGGAACATCTAAGCTTGTGAGCTCTACATGCTCCTCTCAAGGGCTTCTGAGAGACCCTACCATGCCTGCAGCCGCCCACCGGACTGTAGGAGCCGTTGCCAGAATCCAGCTTCCACTGAGTGCCGGCCCCGAAGGTTTGTAGAGTGTTCATCTCATGTGCAAGGGAGCAGCTTCATGGCTTCAGTTGCTCGCAATGTACTTTTCGTGGGGTTCCCCGGGGATACCTACCTGTCTAAGTGGCCCGCATATACACATACTCATATACAATCCTAACCAGTAGATCCACATACACTGTCATTAATGTACACAGGTGTACCGTATATGAGTTTCTACATGCATGCGTAACTGTCTATACACGAGCCATACAAGCCCTATTCAGACTGGGCCTTGTATCAAACTGTATAAAGCTTATGTATGTAGGGACACTTAGGGGTGTATCTTAACAACTGTCCCGAAGGGTCCAAGTACCAAAATAGTAGCTACTTTGGGCCCCAAAGTATATACTATACTATTACTTGGACCTTTTGGGTATCTTATTCTCTGAGCACGGAATCAGACACTTAAGCCTTCAACCCCTTTTCTTCAAAGCCACAAGGGCCCTAGAGTCTAGAGCCTTAGAAGACCGCTAGCAGCCTAAACCCTGAAGCCCAAGATCCAAGACGTCCTTAAGGACTTGGGGTTTAGGGTATTCTATAAGGCTTCGGTTCCTTTAAGGGCTCCTTTCAAGCTCTCCCAAAAAAGGCCCATAAAGCAGAAAAAAGCTCTAAGTTGATAAATGAAGCCCCGTTGAGCTTGGTGGCTAAGCTGTTTGGCCATGTTTTCAGGGTGTAGGATTGTGGATCTACCTTCAGTCAGGGTTTATGATTTAGGGTTTGGGTTTAGGGTTTACGGTTCAGGATGAAGACGTACGACATGGGTTGCTGGTGTTTGCTGATACTGTGTTGGCGTCCAGAAACCACTCTGGACATCCAAGTTCTGACACAAGCAGAACTCTAGAAAAGCCGAACCGAGAAACCCAGACTGTTTATAGGGGTCGGGTTGGGATTTGTAGGCATCTGGCTTCGAAACTATCGATTTCTACTGCTCTGCGCCGAGCCTTTCACGGGATATGCGGGCAAAAGATCTGGGATCTTGTCAGGAACTTGCTTCGTTCCTTATCATAACATAAGATCCCCGAAACCCGAAACCCTAAACCCTAAACCTTAAGCCCTACACCCTACCTACACCCTAAACCTAAACCCTAAAGCCCTAAAGCCCTAAAGCCCTAAAGCCCTAAGCCCTAACTTCGAGCATTGGCCTGATCCGATGGGCTTTTAGGGGGATGCTCGGAGGGGACTTGGGGCTTGGCTACGACGGAAAGGTTTTGTTTTTGTGGGGGACATCAAACTACACTTCAACAGACGTTGAGAAGATATCCTGGCGTAGGTGGAGAGGCAGATGGATTGGGCTTGGGGCTGCAGGCTGTCCCACTTCCTCAAACACAGGGGCTAAACTGGCAAGAACTTGCTGCATACATTTGTTGCAGAAAGCGCTGACCCTGAACCCTCGACTTCCTAATTGGACCCAGAGAGGTTTTCGTTGCGCCATATCCCCAGGCCTTGATCAGAGTGCATGGGCGCTTGTGGGAGTCCCGCACACGGGAACGGAGTCTCCGTGCGTTTCATCATGTTTCAACTCACGGCAGGCATCCTGCTTCCTCTGAGGATGTTCCATCTCAAAGCGTACTTTCGGCTGGATACACAGGATTGGTGAGGTCTGAAAGAAGAAATCTCCATGAGACTTGAGGTTTCGGGCCTAAATCTTGGTCCCCAGGATGCAGTGGGCTACTTGAACAAAATCGACAAGGACTTCGACTCTGTGGACGTCACAGACGACTACCACAATCTCCTGGCCAGGGCAAGGAGGGCGAGGAGGGCGAGTCTGCATTTTGCCGTTTGTGGGCCTTCCGGAGGCCAAAAGGGCAAAAAGCAAAGTGCAAACGCCCAGGTGAGAAGCAGGAGGTCTTGGTGAAGGCCAAGAGGCGAGAGGCCTTCACTCGCGGTGACTGGCTTCTCAAAGCCATGCTCGGCCCTATCTCCACGAAATTTGACGGATGGGACGAAGGGAAGAAGATCCCCTGCAGAATTTCCTTCGTAACGGCGTGAAACGGTCCGGGATGCCTGTCCGAGTAACAGTAGCGCCGTCGTCGTATTGGTGGTCGTGGTCGTCGTCGTCGTCGCAGCAGTAGCAGGAGGAGCCGGAGGATGAGGAGGAGCTGGTTGGCAGGAATGTTGTTCTAGGTTGGCATGAAGGTAGGTGTCCAGGTAGCTGCAGGAGGACAACAGGGAGAGGCAGCAAGACCCAAGGAGGAGAAGGAGGTCTTGATGACGGTGGCACTGCTGGTGGTGATGATGATGGTGATGAGTTTTGATGTTACTGAGCCTGATGATCATGAGGAGTGCGAGGAGGGTCATCGTCATCGCCATCATCATCACCATCATCACCGTCATCACCATCCTCCTACTCCTCCTCCTCCTCGTCCTCCTCCTCCATCACCATCAGCACCACCATCACCTCCATTATTATTATCATCACCACCAGCATCGCCATCATCACCATCGCCACCATCAGCAGCAGCATCATCATGAACATGGACCTCAGCCTTCATGGTACCATGCCAAAGTCCACTGTGTTGCTTTCTTCCTGCGATTGTGGGAACTCAGCACACTAGGTTCTGCATTTCCACTCGACCCCGCTCAAGGTCGGCTCATGGTTTAGGGTTTAGGGTTTAGGGGATTTAGCTCCAGGGCTTCATGGAAGTTGGGGTTTGCGAGTCATAGGGCGTAATCCAGAAAGCCTAGCATTTGCCAATGAGGCCAGTTGTATGTGGGATCCTACATTACAAATTGAGAAGCTGAACGAGAAGCCGAGGAAGACCTCGGACGTCTCAAGCAGCCAGGTCCGTCGGGAGGGATTGAATGCAGGAGTTAAGAGAGGGGCCTGAATAATTGCCAATATGATCCCTCATCATAAATGTAGTATAATAGGCCAAAAACCCGATTCTAATTATTAGGGCCCTATATTAGTGATTTCAGCTTCGGGTTGTTTTGGCTGTGCTTCAAGAGTCTGGTTACAGTTCGGGGGTGGTCTCGGGATTTTTGTCCATGAGAGGCCCTGGCCACAAGCTTGCCGTATACAGTTACTTAATATAGGGGCCTAAACAATTACCAATACTATTTTGGGGGTTTCTTGTTATAGTTATTGTATAATATACTCCAAAGCCTTATTCTAATTCTTAAGGCCCCTACATTATGTATCTTTGTACGGCTTTCTGCTCGCTTCATCCGAGTCTTCCCGACAATTTTCCCGAATGTGTTGAAGTGAAGGAACTGTTCAAAGGTTCAGGATCCAGTAGGAAGCAACCGGACGATGCTCGTCTTACGCAAATGGCTGGCAGGCATCTGTCGGATCTTGGCGACCTCTTGCGTTCTTGTCCGTCGAGCTCAGTAGCTCTTAATTCAGGAATACGCCTTGCATTTGAATGGGTTTCTGGATGGGTTGTTGGGCTCTTTGTATCTGTACGGTGCTGCAACGTTTCTCTGTATGAGATGCACTGCAGTGTGTACGCGGCCGCCACTTTCGGTATCTCTGGCGACGCTCAAGCTAACACGCGGAGCAGAACCTTGAGCAAAACCCTCAACCCTAAACCCTAACCCCTAAACCCTAAACCCTAAACCCTCAACCCTAAACCTTAACCCCTAAACCCTAAACCGTGGGCTCTTTGCCGAGTTTTGGGCGTCAAGCTGACCTTTCATGCTTGGGGATTCGAGGGAGGCACCATTCTGCAGGTTTCTGTGGCTGAGCCGTAAATCTTCGACCCGAGGCCTTGGCCCTAGGTCGTAAACCCTACCTGAATCCTAAAGGACCTACCTTTTTTGGGGGCTCCTTATTATGATTTCCTTTTCTAAGTCCTTAAAAAGGTAGGTTGTTTGGGGTTAAGGTAAGCCTTAAACTTTAAAGCCTGTCCAGGTCTGTGCGATCCTCTAAGATCTACTGAGAGCTCCCGAGCTGCGTCCGGCGCTCCGGGTGGTTCGGTGGCCCCCAAAGGCCCATCCAAGACCCCCAAAGGCTAAACCCAACAAGCCGAAGCCGAAATCTTAAGCCACAAGAATCTACACTGGGCAGTCTTCGGGGGGGCCACCTGACCCAAGCATCCCTTAAAGAAGGAATTTCGGGGCATTTCACCCGTCGAACAAAGGAAATTGCCGCGAAACGCCGTTTCAGAGCTCAGGGCTTTTGGGCTTTGACGTTTAGCATCTGATTGGGACCCAGTTCCTGTGTGGCTAGCGGTGTTTGTGGTTCCGTTGTCCAGGCGTGACGGCAGTGGTTTGATCAACATCTCGCCACTCTTCTGGTGGTGCGTGCTGCTCCGAGCGAACCCTGTCTGTGTTTCTACGCCGTTCGACCGTAGATCGTGCAATTGTTTCCGTCTGGAGCGCTCTTTTCGGATCCAGCGCCCCGCGCATCTGCGTCTCGTGCCCATCACCTGCACACTTCAGCCATGCCCCAGGTGGTGCTCTCAGTGCTCAGGGGGGGCAAGAAGAGGTTGAACGGGTAGGGGACCCTGACACGGCCTATCCCAAGTGTTCCCGACCTAGGAAGCTTCGGTTTGCTGTCATCTTCAGCTGTGATGAGGGTGTCCTCGCCATGTTTCGGTAATTTGGTAACTTGGAGCCTCCATGGCATCCTAAACCCTAAACCCTAAACCCTAAACCCTAAACCCTAAACCCTAAAATGTCTATCTTTTGGCCGAACCATCGAACCCCCAACTCCCAAACCCTCCTTTGAGACCTCGAAGCCCCAATGTCTTGTCTTTTCAGACAAGACCGCAACCCTAAACCCTGATGGCTCCTTCATATAGTAATATAGTAATATAGTACTATAGTAATTTTGTAATATAGTAGCATAGTCTATAGTAATTTTGTAATATAGTAGTATAGTACTGGCTCCTTCATACGACCCTTATTTCTCTTCCCTCCGACGTGGGCTTTTTGTATTTCTGCCAACCTGTAGCCTGCGGCCGACCCTAAACCCTAAACCCTA